AAGTCATCATTATTATTAGTAGTAGTATTTTTATCATCCTTATTGTTGTTATCATCATTATCGTAATCATCGCCTTCATCATTATTACTATCATTATCATATGTATCATAAGAACTATCCTTATCGTTGTTATCACTATTATTAGCATTATTATTACAACTATCATTATTTACCATTGGTATCATTATTAATAATACCTCTTTATCACCAAGACTATCATTAATGTTATGAGTATTAGTTTGAGAATAAGTATCCTTAACATTTTTCTTGCTATTCCTTATATCATGATAATCGTACTCTCTCTCTCTTACACACACGCACGCACGCACGCACGCACACACACAAACACACACACACACACACACACACACACACACACATTTATGAATATACCGATACAAGCACACAGACTATGTATCAATTTAAATATATGTATATACAAATATATTCATATAGGTATATACATATACATGCATATGATTATATATCCATATATATACAAATACACATTTTATGTGTGTGTGTATGTAAATATATAAAAATGTATATCTTTAATATACATATATATTCATGCAAACACACACACACACACACGCACACACACACACACACACACACACACACACACACACACACACACACACACACACGCACATGCACACGCATGCGCGCACACACAAACACTCATATATCTATATATCATATATATATATATATATATATATATATATATATACTGTATATATCTACATCTATATTCATATCTATCTATCTATCTATGTACATAAGCACATAGACTCACATTTATATATATACACATCATGTATATATATATATATATATATATATATATATATATATATATATATATATATATATATATATATTCATAAACACTCACATGTATATATACACATTCTTATATATATACACATAAAAATACATACACTTACATTTATGTAAATACATTATATATACGTATATGTATATATATATATATATATATATATATATATATATATATATATATATATATATATATATATATACATATATACAAATAAATATATATATTTATATATATATATATATATATATATATATATATATATATATATATACATACATATATATGCGTACACACACACCCATGTACAGTTATAAGTGTGCCAAAATGTATGTATCAAAAAGGATATCAAATTCGTCAAAACGTTTTCAAGGCCGACGAAAGGTAACGGGCTAGCGGGAACGGACTAAATCTTTCTTCCAGTTGAAATGCCGCGTCATCATCACTGGCTTCTGGACAACGGGTTAATCGCAGAATTTCCTCTTTATTTACTCATCGGCTGTGATGTGCTCACCGGGAGAGAAAGGAAAGACCTTGTGAAGACTAATCTAAAGGGAGAAGGAGGGGCCTCAGACGCCGGTATATATACGTGGCGCCGCAGGAGGGTAAGGCATCAACTCCAACATGAAGCTCTTGGTGAGTAGTGCCTAACTCACTGGTTTTCGAAGTGTTCCGTGCTTTGGTATATGGGAGTATATTCTGTAAAACAATGTGCTTTTTCGAGGGAAGATAACAGAGGTTCATGAGATAAGATAAAAGATAATTACTTTTCTCATAGGTCTTGGCACTGGTGGCTGCTGCGTCTGCCGCACCTCAGGGGTACAATCTGGGTACACCCTCTGGTCCTTCCTTTAACTCTGGCAGTTGTGGCAGTGGGCAAGTGCGACACGTGGATGGAAGATGCGTTACGCCTCAAGTGAACAGCCGTGTGTTCCTGTACGATGTGCCAGCAAACGAAGGTGTTGTCAACCGGCCAAGCTACATTCCGGAACCTAAATTGGAACGCAATATCATATTTGTGAGAATACCAGACGGCGCACAGGGACCAGAACCCATCGTCGTACCACCGCCACAACAGCAACACGTCGTGTATGTTCTGAACAAGCAGTCAGAACAGGACCAGCGAGTGATCGAGGTTCCAGCACCGCCACAATCCAACCCCGAAGTGTTCTTCGTGAACTACGCAGAAGGAGAGAACCCGACTCTTCCCAGCGGAGTCGACCTCCAGACGGCGTTGAGCGCAGCTTCCCAGGGCGGCGGCCAAGTTGTTGGAGGCGGTGGTGTTGGAGGAGGAATCGGAGGTGGTTTCGGCGGTGGTATCGGTGGAGGCAGTGGAGGCGGTTTCGGTGGCGGTATCGGAGGCGGTTTCGGAGGAGGAAGTGGAGGCGGTTTCGGCGGTGGCATCGGAGGCGGTTTCGGAGGAGGCAGTGGAGGCGGTTTCGGCGGTGGCATCGGAGGTGGTTTCGGTGGCGGCAGCGGAGGCGGTAGTTACTCCCCTCCTTCTAACCTGTACAGTACACCTTAAAGGCATCTAACTGCCGAATCTCTCCTCAGAATTGTTAAAATAGTTGTATTGATCTGAGTTAAATGTTACCTTTATTATAAATTGTTCAATTTTATATCCATGTATATTTATATGTAAGTGAGAAAATAAAGAATTATAGTGACATTAGATTGTTTGGATGACATGAATGGCGGCGATAACAAACCTACTAATCATATAAAAAAGGTTCAATGAAAATGAAGATGCATGCGTTTCGATTCATATTCTGGTCAGTGTTACCACTTTTGCAGAAGCCATTTCCGGTAGAATAATGATCTCTTTCAAAGATTATCTCATGAATATTCTCTCAAAATAAGAAAAGTAAAATTTAATTTTTGATCACGTTCCATAAAGAAATACTTTAATACTTAAGACATTTCACAATCATTACGAAAACCAAATATGTATATGTATTCCTTAACTAACGAAAAAATAAAATGCACTCTTGATTCAACTTATCAAAAACAATATGCTTTTGCAATGAAATTTCCGAGTATATCCCCAGAAGTTCAATTTGTGATTTCTCGAGTAGACTGAACAGTATCAATCTGAGAAAAAAAACCTTTCTATTGGCGCTTTAGAAAACAGAAATTACCGGAGCGCCAGGCCTACAGATTTTTCCTTTGCATTCACCTCGGCCCAATAAGCTATCACATTACCCAGGCAACTTTTAGAGTATTCTTGAAGTTCTTTGATGATCCAGTAATATTCCAAATCGCCTAGCACCAACAGGTTTAATAGAATCTTTTGTCTGGTATGTGGCATTTGAAGTTTTCTTTCACCATTAGAAGAATGTCCCCATTTTCTTGTAAACGCATCTGAACTAGACTTCTGAGCTAAAGTAAATAAGATTTGCACCCCTCCTTGGGCAATGCTTGATTTGAGTTTCATTTAATAAGCAAACAGTTCCATAAGTGATGAACTCATAACCAAAGTCCACTGCTTCACAAGGCAAACATGGTCCAAAAGACTAGGATCAGGCACGTTTTCGTCGGAACATTTTAACAAACGCTTTGGATTAACTACAGTATTTACTATACGGATCAGATCTTCCACAAGGAAGGGATACTTTAATTCAAACCCGACTCATTCAACATATCATTAATAATTTCCCTATTATTACCTAAATTCTGTATTTTATGGTAAAATTAACAACTGATTTCTGGCAAACTCTGTAGAATACATAAACTTTTCCAAACTGTCTATAAATTCCCATGAAAATTCCTACAGACTAAGAGTAAAATTAGCTCCCTTATAAACAGTCCTATGTCAAGGCATTTGTCATACAGATTTGTTGGGAATCCCCACAATCTGGGAGCACTGATTCTGATGAAGTCTTAATGGAAATGCGTCAAATGAATCTCTTGCGATCACATTATCATATTCATTATCACTCAAACGCTTTTCAACATGTAGCGATTAATTCAGTTCACTTACATCCAATACTATTTTAAGAGAAGGGGAACGAAATCCACCCCCACCCCCACCCCCAAATAGATAAGGAGTTATTCCCCTCCTCCTTACCACTACAGCACCCCTGAAAGATATCACAAAGACTTCGCCTCAAACTGCTTCTAGATAGCTCCTACCATCCACACCTTCTGTTCACGTTTTTTTTCTAACCAATAAGGCATACTCCATATCGAAGGTTACCACGGCATTGTAAAATTAGCATTGCCTATTTTGACTTTTGTATCCGAAACACATACTGATATGTGTTTCACATATACAAGGGTCGGAACTTGAGGTTATAGTTATAGCAAAAAACAAATGTAGTAGACTGATACGAGTTGAAGAATATTTAAAACTGACACTATGAGTAACAGTCAAACAAATATAGTCTTTACAAGTTTGCCAAATACATCATAGACAATGTCCTTTTGGGTAGTTCCGTAGCGGTCAAATGCCGTGGTATACCATTATAAAAATAAACGCCAAGCGTGCGCGGAAACACATAAACGCATGTATACGTATATAATATATAAATATATGTGTGTGTTGTGTGTGTATGTGTGTAATACACACACAGAGGCACACATATAACATATATATATATATATATATATATATATATATATATATATATATATATATATATATAGTATATAAGTATGTATGGATATGTGTACACACACACACATACACACACACACACACACATATTTTTACATGTATACACACACACACACAAATGTATGCACGAACGCACACACACACACACACATATGTATATACACACACTTACATATACACACACACACACAACATATACATATGTGTACGTATATATATATATACATACATATATATACATATATATACGTATATATATATACACACACACGTGTGTACATATAAACAAATATGGACATATACATTTATACATATACATAAAACTTATGTATGCATTCTCTCGAATTTACGCATTCACTCACTCATGTATGTGTGTATGCATTTATGAAAAAGTGTGCGTTTCACTATGTGCAATTGTAAAATATATGTGTGCATGGAGACACTCGCTAAATAAATGTGTTTATGATTTCCCCACGCACAGGCACATCTTGAATTTTGAAACATGCCTATCATGCTTATGTAAAAATATATCAAAAAATGTCTTTCCATCTGAACTGCATTGTCATCATCTTAGACTACCGGACAACGGATTACTCCAAGAATTACAAACCAAGGGTGAAAGGAAAGACCTTGTGAAGGCCAGTCCAAAGTGTGTAGGAGGAGCATCATGTTGACGTATATATATGACGCTACAGAAGACGAGGCACTAACTTCCATCATGAAGCTCTTGGTGAGTAGAGTCAGATATTTCGAGTGCGAGTATGCTAACTGTAATATGATGATTTCTAGGATTGAAGAATATAATTTTCTTATAGGTTTTTGCACTGGTGGCTGCCGCGTCTGCTGCCCCTCAGGGGTACAACCTGGGTACGCCCTCTGGTCCTTCCTTTAACTCTGGCAGTTGTGGCAGTGGGCAAGTGCGACACGTGGATGGAAGCTGCGTGACACCTCAAGTGAACAGCCGTGTGTTCCTGTACGATGTGCCAGCAAACGAAGGTGTTGTCAATCGGCCAAGTTACATTCCGGAACCTAAATTGGAACGCAATATCATTTTCGTGAGACTTCCTGACGGCGCACAGGGACCAGAACCCATCGTTGTACCACCGCCACAACAGCAACACGTCGTGTATGTCCTGAACAAGCAGTCTGAACAGGACCAGCGAGTGATCGAGGTTCCAGCACCGCCACAATCCAACCCCGAAGTGTTCTTCGTGAACTACGCAGAAGGAGAGAACCCGACTCTTCCCAGCGGAGTCGACCTCCAGACGGCGTTGAGCGCAGCTTCCCAGGGCGGCGGCCAAGTTGTTGGAGGTGGTGGAGTTGGAGGAGGAATTGGAGGTGGTTTCGGTGGAGGTATCGGAGGCGGTTTCGGTGGTGGTATCGGAGGTGGTATCGGCGGAGGCAGTGGAGGCGGTTTCGGCGGTGGAGGCAGTGGAGGCGGTTTCGGCGGTGGTATCGGAGGCGGTTTCGGTGGTGGTATCGGCGGAGGCAGTGGAGGCAGTTTCGGCGGTGGTATCGGAGGCGGCAGTTACTCCCCTCCTTCTAACCTGTACAGCACACCATAAAAGTGCACATCCTTTTGTTAGGTTGTATAGACTACGGAAGTAGTTTCACTTTACCGAATTCTATCTAATCTGTAAGTAATTCAGATTATATTTTGTTTAATTTTATATTAATGTATTTATCAAGATGAAAAAATAAAGTTGTTGTGACAATGGATTGTTTGGATGACATAATCAAAACAGAATAACCATCGAATGCGGGGGTAACAAACAAAACATAACACGTGGAATCTCTATCTTAATCGTAGTAAAAGTGACACTTAAGCTAATCCCATTTTACATATTTGCGAATGTTTCCTGAATGTTTACAATCATATTAATATTAATAACTGAAAATGATAATAGAGATAAATATCATTGTTTTATAATATGTATAGATGGCTGAGAAGTACCACAAAGGGATCAAAATAACCTGTACCTATACATACATAAAACACACACGGATACCGACACACAAACAGGTAAACATATATACTACTAAATAATTTCAAGTGTAACGAAAAAAAATGAATAAAAGTACATAAAAAACCCTAACCCAACAAGTGTTCCTATCACAAACTCTCTTTACAATCCATATTATTTCTGTTTGTACATGAAACTTGAGTGTACATATCTATAGAGTCGCATGATATTGAGCCATCATTTTCCATTACCTTCGTTTATGAATTTGTCATGGAAACTTATTCGGTGTATTCACTGGATTTTCGCTATTACAAGGTCCTAGATTCGTGTCTTGTCACCTTTCCCATTCGCTTCAGGTGTGAGTGGGTACTAGTATGCTAACATATCCCGCGGCTTAGCTTGCATGTTCCTCTACGTCCATTTCTATATTGGACTAACTTGACCTTGAACTTAATTTTGAATGATTTAATACTTCAGAGTTTTGCACCCCTTGCCATTTTGCCCACTGGTTCCCTTTGATTATCTGGAGCGATATGATTAAAATTAGAAAATGAATAGCTATATTGGTAGTAGATTCTTTGAATATCATACAGAAAGGCTGAAAATGGTTATGCTGTGGTAGATGAATATGCATCTAGCACTTGAACAGGTCTAAATCTCTTTAAGGAGTGCATGAATGCCCACTGGTATGACTGGGTGTTGAAGGTGAAGTGGAGAGCAACAGAAGAGTCAGCTATGGACTGGGCAGTCCTGTGTTGGTGCTGCCTGTCGTGATCTGCTGGAATATCGGGGAATGCTGCCTCAGTTCCGGATTCTGCGGCTAACGTACAGGAAACGAGGGGAGCCCGCGGTCCAATGTGAGCCGAGAGATGTCCGTATCAGCCGGTCAGGTCTCTGCAGTGAGTCGAAAGAAGCGCCTGCGAGGACGAGGCTGTAGATCTGATGTGACCCAACCTAGGATGTATGCTGAGCTTCAGGTTACAGGACCGTTCTTCTGCAGTAATTCAGTTGTTTAAACACATTAGCCATTGAATAAAGACAAATCTGCATAAGATGTTACTTCGTAAAATGAT